CTCTTTCCTGAACAGCTCAACTTTTCTTCTATTTTGTTAGTCCCTAGTACACTTCAAGAACAGTAACATTTGTTTCTGTCTCTATTTTCTTTACCCCAAAATTCTCCACCATACTTTTTCACTTTTTAATCTCAGTTCTATTCCATCTATGCCTATACTACCCTTTTACCTAAATGGTTTCTTCTGGATTTCCTGAACTATATTCTAGTCATAGGTTTCATACCATTGATACCTGAAATAAAAATTGCCTTAGAATTTCTAGTTTACTTTCCTTATTAACCATATTTTAGGTATTATTGGTAAGGACAATATCTGAGGCCATTGTATATGTGTGTGTTTAAGTGTACACACACAATGAAAGAACTATTATATAAAATGTAATTTTAGCTTTAAATCATTACTTTTAAAATAAAATTATAATTGTAATGATAATAGCTAGCATTTATACAGAGCTTTAAGGTTTACAAACTGCTTTACAAAAATCTCATTTTATCCTCACAACAATTCTGGAAGGCAGGTGCTATTATTATCCCCATTTTACAGTTAAAGAGTCTGAGGCAGATAGGTTAAGGGACTTACCCAGGGTTACACACCTATTAAATGTTAAGGGGTTAAATTTAAATTCAGGTCCTTCCTAAATTCAGATCCAGAGCTTTGCCACTTAGCTGACTCTAATAATTATATATTTATGAACTATACATTAATATTAGTTTAAAACATTTTGGCTATTTAGTGAACATTTTAAACATTGCCTAAAATAACATAATGGATGGAAAGCATCTTGTATGATCATTATCTTTTCAAATTTCACTAATTTATTAAGAATTTCTCATGCACATCATCAATATTAAATAAAAGGGGGAAAATGTATTATATGCTTAAATATCTACTTTTAGAAATATTCAATTCAAAATCACAAATGCTAACCTATAAAAAGTTGAGTAGAAAGTTTGACCTGTTTTTCTATTATTCTACTTGCTATAAGACCTTCATTTAAACACATAATCTGTCAGAAATTTAACCACTCAAAATTAATGCTCTTCACCTAAATATGCAACCTAAGTCTAATTTGTTAGCTAATACATTATACCTATTATCAATAATAGGGTGGGATATGAGGGATAAAGTTGTCCTCCAAACTGGGAAAACCTGGATTTGAGTCCTGACTCTTATGATGCCCTGGCTATGTGACCTTAGACAAGTTTCTCAAAGTCGTTCTGGGCACTGGGCAACTCTAAAGATAGCTGTCAGTTGCAAAGAAGGTACTGACCTGCAATGGTGAAGGGAGTTTGTTTCCTGACCTAGGAGGTTCCCTATGTCAGAGGTATCAAACACATGGCCTGCAATCGGCAGTCACAGCCAGATTAAAAGTAACTGAGAAATATTTAAATGCTAATATGTGGTTTTCTAAAACAATATGCAGCTCACAAGGATCCTTATGAATGTTTTAGTGGCCCTTGTTTCTATTTGAGTTTGACACCACTGCTGTATAACAATGAAATCATAGGTCTGATCCCTATCCCTATGCTATTTATTAACGGTACATACACACTAAATTTAAAACCCAAAAATACACATAAAAAATTAAGGCATGTAGCAAGATAGTACCCTTTTGTGAGTGATAGAATAAAGAGTAGGATATTTAAGTTATCGAAATGTATGAATCAAAAAATGCAACCTATAAGGGGAAAAGTACCTAGTACAAGACTTTGCACACAGGAACTACAATATTACTATTATTGAAAGCTGTATGTCTTTAACTTTGTTATAAGATTCATATGTCACATTTTAAACTCTCTACAAGTATTTTTAGAATACCTCTTCAAAATCTCCTGACAAGATATACTAAAAAGAGACCTCAAATTAGATTCAAATGATATTTTTATGACTAAGTAAATTTTTCACAAGGTAATTTCTAAGGAAATCATCAAGGTCAAATATAATAAATCAAAGATCAAATTTATAGCTTACCAATATAAATGTTTAAAAGTTTAAGAATCAGGGTATAGTTAAGAAATGTTCAATAAAAGCAGATGTCAAAAACAGATTTAGGTAGCAAAGTAGTTATTCATTATGAGATTCTTAAAATATCTAAGGTAAGTGCTGTTAAATCAATCCTACCTTCCCACCAATTTCTATTATCAATCAGAGATATGTTCACGCTCAAGAAATTTTGGCCTTCAAACTTCATAAAAACACAGAAAAATGTATAATCACATATTAAAGAAAAATGGATATTTTAAAATAAAATATGAATACCATAATACTTTAACTAAAAATTTCAACTGATTATCACAAAATGAAGTGATATGTAACAATTTGGGAAGAAGAAAATGGGGCATTAGATGTTCTGCTTCATCTTATCAGTCATTAACTTGCTATTACCAAGAGTTAAGTCAGGGGCTCCCTTCTGGGAATTAAAACTGTTTCCCTTTTTTCCTGCCTTTGATTTGTAGCCCTGTAAAATATTAGGCAAGTCTATGACCCTTCACCTTTCTTGTCTATAAAGTGGGAAGATACATGCTTATTGCTCCAAAAAGCCTTTTAAAGTTTAAGTGATAAAACAAAATCTCCCTCTCTTTGGAAAAGAATGTTACTGCTCTAAAAGCAGCTAGACCGGGAACCAAGTTTCCTTTGTTCTATATCTAGTAATATAATCACAGCAAGTCTATGTACATGAATTTTTCTCTGGGAGAGAGACCTCCCTCTCCATTAATGTCACTGATTTGACTGAGGTGTCAATCCACATTACTCCAAGCAACAATTTTACTTAATTGTTCCATCGTGACTGGTTGGCCAGCTGCCGATGGCCAATACAGCCAGGTCATCATAGGGGATAAAAGAACACTAGTGGAAATGTTGAAGAACACAATACATGTGACGTGAAAGAAGTTTTAGAAAAATCTAGTTCATTCCATCATTTTAAATGAAACTTATACTCCTCCTAGAGATATTAACTTACATGGCTGTGGTCACATAGCTAATAAGTAGTAAATTCACTACTAGTAACTTAATCTATAGGTCCAAGTGTCCTTATAACGTTCTAAACTCAAAGCAACACAAGATCAGTCAGTCCTCAGACTGGTGCTGTAGTTCTTCACTACCTCATAATTAAATTCAATTAAAAAAGTATTAAGTATCTACTGTGCACAAAGCACTAAACTAGGTTCTAAGCTAGGATACAAAAATTTAAAAAAAAAAAAAACAGCTGCTGCCCTAAAGGAGCTTACATTCTACTCTGGAAGAAAGTAAGGAAGTAGAGGAGGCTATATCCCCAAATGCCCCTAAGTGACTACAGCCCTAGTACGGACAGACAGCAAAATTTCATTAAAGTGAAGTTGATACTATACCAAATAATTGTAACAGAATATAGAAATGCAAAAAAAAATTACATATTTTTGGTTAAAAAAATTTGATTCTATGAAAGAGAATTCCTAATATTGTACTTGTTTCTTAGTTTTACTACTTTGATCATGAAATATGAGTTTTCTCCCAAGGTATTTGTTATCACATAAAAGTATTTAGAAGAAGTAGAACTGAAGAAACATGCTGAATGCCACAAAAAGAACACTCTATTTTATTTGCAAAACATGAAATAATTCAAGTTTCACATCATTCAGGATAGCCTTCCCCACAATAAATTTTTTTTGTTTCTATCTTTGAACCTGCCATTTGATCACTGAAAGAAATACAGTGTAAGAAAACTCTTTCCCCAATGCAGCCAGGCAATTTAAGAGAGTGTCTTGGGGGCAACGAGAGATTCTGTGTCTTGCCATGCTAAACTAAATTCTCTGAAATCCTAAAGCACTTACTTTTGGTACCATTCCCTTTAGCACAATCACATGCTATCTTATATTTTTATTTAACTGATGCTTATGTGTAGTCTCTCTAATAACATATGCTTCTTCTTAAAGACCTTGAAGACCTAAGCACATAGTTCTGCAAATACTTTCTGAACCTATGTAAATCAGGCACTTTACATGTGACCCAAAATGGTCTGAAATTTTGCTATTAAGTCTAAATAAGTAAATAGAAATTTTCTAAAAAACCTTTAACTGTTATAATGTATAATGATCTAAAAAATATAATTTTTGCTTGATAAAATGAATCTGATTTTGAATTCTTAGTATATAAATTTTTCAAGCCATCTATGTAGACACTACAAGCAATGTAATATTTTCACTTTGTTAATTTTATTATTCATTTTAAGAGCTTTCTCTGTATTTTATATCCTATGGATATGTCCATTTTAAATATTTTAGCAAATTTTTACTTTATACAACCCTGTAAGAATTTGTTTTATATTATACTAAATGTAACTTTTATAGCTGTTAATACTGCTCTAACTGAAAGTTTGACAACAATACTTTATGTATATAATTTTGAGTGTAAATCTTCACATTCAATTTATCAGGACAAAGCAACGACTAATTCTGTGAAATTATTTTTAAATATCCCTTGCTTTAAAAATCTCTGCTTCCCTCAACTAACTTCTATCAAGGGAAAAGTAAAATATTTTTAAATATAATGGAATTGAAAACCCTGTCTACAAACATGTATTACATTGTCTCTAGAAGCACCAGTAGAGAACAGAAGATCTCCAAGTTAAAACTTCCAGAGCTCTTAGAATAATACACTTGAATCTTTAACATTAAGCACACTGGAGTGCTCAATTAAGCGATATGTGAAAATATAAGTACTCGAATTTAGTTTTACACTCCTATCCATAGAATAGAGACCCCTGTATGTAGATATTATTCTTTTTTATTTGAACAGATTACTGGTTTTCTAGGTTAGAGGAAAGAAAATCCATGGATTTCCATATAAAAGGATTAATTTAAGCATCAGCTATTTTAAGCAGTATGTTCATTTATTAATCCACCAAAGCTGAATTTAATCACAATTTACACTAGGCAATAGATAATGATAGATGTGAATTGATGTAGATAACACTTTCCAGTCTTAGCAAGTAGTTTTCTGTTTGTTGTGGTTTTACTTACCTGTCTTGTTTTTGCCGATGTTTCAATGAAAGGAATTCCATAATTTCTTGCTAAGTCCTGAGCTTGTTTTGTATCTACTGTTCTGGAAGGTAAATCACATTTATTTCCTACAAGGACCATGGGTACATCTTCAGAATCTTTAACTCTTTTTATTTGTTCTCTAAGGTAGGAAAAGAAAAAAATCCATGTTATATCAGAGACATTTAAGCAGAAGGAAAAATCTTCTAATACTTGTTTAAAAAAAAGTTAACTCAAGTATGTATAATAAGGCTGAAAACTGATTATAATCCCCATTTTCTCCATAGAACAAATTCTTATTTTTCCTTGCTTAGTTTGAATAAAGCATTCAAAATTGATTCAGATATTTTTGTATTACAAAAATTTTCTAAAAGGAGAAAGGGTAAGGAAGAGAGACATGGGGGTGGGGGAATCTTCATTTTAAAATAACTACTTCCAAACAAAAGAATTCCAAAGCTATAATTTTGTTACTTCAAACCAAAAAATATACTGAAAGAAATACAATGAAAAAATGGAAAATTCCGAACAAACTCAATATATCTAAAAATTGTCTAGAACATAAGCTTTAATTTTAAAATGCATTACTTCAAAATGTAAACAGCACTTAAGTTTATGCCTAAAAAACAATAAGTAGTAAAAGCTTTATTCATTTTTCCCATGTCCCTGCCCCAAAATGAAATGATGGTCAAATTCTTGAATAATCTTTACACGCTCCAAAGCTCAATACCTGCTAAAAGCCCTTTAACCTGAAGTTTTGTTTTTTGGGGGGTTAAGGGTTGGGGTGAGGCGGTCACATTATTTTTAAATGGGCTTTTTTTGGCTTGATGTTTCAACATAATTTCAATAAGGAAACGATGTTTAATTCCTGTACTATAGTTACTATAGAAACATATAAGTGATGAGTGACTGAGTCAGAAGAATTGTGTCCTTTTTTTATTTTACTTTTCTGAAGAGCTATTTCTATGGTATGGTGAGGAAGTACTCCAGAATTTGAAAATGCCAATTTCTAATATTAGACTCTAAACAAACCCATTTTATAAAACTCACATTACTTTCCTCATCTGTTTCCCAACTATACTCTTTCCCAGCATGGTCGGGGAATTCCAAATCTAGTATCCTTTCCACTATGCCATTTGGTCTCCTTTGGGAATTGTGGTGGACAGAATTTTCATATACAAGCATACCACATCTAATATTGTTAATGAGGTCCATAAAAACATAGGTAAAGTGAAATAATATTAGAACAGTGCAGCAGGTCTCACAGTCAGTCCTATCTTGTATACTTGGCAGATTATATTACATCTGAATTCTGTGATACACTGTGGTTGAGTATAAAATAGTCTATGTATTAATACTGTGAAATGGCTTTTATGTGAGATGTCTGTATACTATATGTAGACTGCCACTTTCAAAGAATGAGTAAAATTAAAATATACTTAACAGCAAAACCACACTGGACTATTAAGCAGAATTTAGAAAGCTGTCAGTTTTTTACTCTCTTGCCAAATTCTTTAAGGACATTTTAATTCAAAGACTCTATTGCCATCGCTAAGCTCCTACTTCCCATCTATATTTAGGATGGAGATTCCAAGACATTTAATGAAATTTTGTACTTAAAACTTTGAAATGACCAAGCATTAAGCCATTATGTGAACTCTTAATTGATTTTATCTTCTTTGATAGTGACTCCAAAATAAGTCCATTATTCTTTCCTCACAATGTGAACTTGTTGAATAAGAACATTTTCTGTTATTGTTACTTTAACCTTCTTCTTTGGTGGTATTAATTTCCTATAACACTTACATATTTTAGTTTTATGTCAGTTGACAATTAGGTAATATTTGACACCTACAAAAGAGACACTGCATTTCTTGTATTCCAACTAATCTTTTTAGGGCCTAAGATTTTTCTGGATTGGTTAGGAAGAAGTGTATATTTTAAATAAGCTAATGTTTCATTTTGACCTATTTCCATGGAAATCCAGGATTTATTCACACGTTTTTCATTTTATGTTTGAACCCTCAGCACCTAGTTCTGAGCCCTGCACTCAGTAAGCACTCAATAAATTCTTGTCAAATATGCTTTTGATATAGTATCCTTGTGGATATGACAGAGAAATGTGGACCAAGTAATATTTGAGAGGCTACAGAGTTTAGTAAATAGCTTGTTAGACTTGGGAATCAAGAAAATCCATGTCCAAATCCTACCTTAGGCACTGTGTGACACTGGGCAAGTCATTTAACTACCTCCAATCAATTGTCAAGTTCTGTCATTTTGCCTTCAGAGTATCTCGCATATATTCACCTTCTCTCCTCTGACATTGCAACTACCTTAGTGCAGGCTCTCATCACCTCATACTTTGCCTAAGAAGCAATAGCTTGCTGATTGTGGTCTCTCTGCCTTAAGTCTCTGCCCGTACTCCAATCCATCCTCCTGTCAAAATGTTCTTCCAGCATCACATATAAAATCCTGCCCTGCTTTTAAAGTTCTTCATATCCTGACCCCTCTTACCTTTCCAGTCTTCTCACACCCTACTTCCCCTCCACATGTTCTGAAATCTAGTGACCCTTGGTCTCCTCACCCTCCTGACTCTATATGCTTTTTTTAGTGGCTTGTCCCCCTATGCCTGGACTTTTCTCTCTCCTCCTCTCAAGCCTCAGCTAAAGTCTTGCCTTCTGCAAGAAGACATTCCTACTCCTTCTTAATCTTCCCTCTGAGACCACCCCTAATTAATTCTGCAGAGATCATTTGTATATAGTTGTTTACATATTGTCTCTGCCAGTAAACTGTGTGCTCCTGAGAGCAGGAACTGTTTATTGCCTTTGTGTTCAGTGACTGGATAATAATAATAACATTAATAATAATAATAAGCATAATAGTTCTTAATAAATAATAAAGTGCTAGTTGACTGACAACCTCTCTTGGTCTCAGTTCCTCATCTGTAAAAGTAAGGACTAGGCAGCCTTTAAGTTACTTCCCAGATCTAAACCCACAATTCTGTGACTCACAATTGATTATACTACTTTACTCAAAGTGTGTTGATTATTTGATCAATGTCCACCTGGACAGAACTTCTCTAATGAGAGACCATAGGGTTCTGTCCTCAGCTCTTTAAAGTTCAATATTGTCATAAAAAATTGGGTAAAGACATAGAAGGCATTCTTTAACAAGTCTGTAGATGACAAGGCTAATTAATAGTAAATAACAAAATCATATTAAAAAATCTCAACATGTTTGAACAAGGGCTGGAAAATAATAAGATGAAATAAGGGAAAATGTAACCGAAACAAGTTCAAAAAAATCAACTAAGGAATGAAAAAATATAACTAAAAAGTTTACATAAAAAGACTTAATTTTAGTCATTTGTTAACATGTGTTATGGCAGTGTTACAGAGCTACTAAAAACCATAATACAGTCTTAGAAAGCATAACACAATATGTATCAAGTCCAGATCAAGGAAGTAATAGTCTTACATATTACACTCTACCATGGCTTGAAATACTGTATATTCACTTCTAGGCAACATGTTTCAGAAGGGATATAACAACTTCATAAGACAGCCACCAAAGTCGTGAGGGACCTAAATATTATGTCATGTGAGAATTAAATAGTGATGTAAAGCCTAAAGAAAAGACCTAGAGACAACATAGTACAACATAGTTTTGTTTTGTTTTTTTCACATAAAGGGATATCATTTTGACTTATTAAACGTGTTCTGTCCTATATCAACAGAAAGAATGAGGACCAAGAGATAGAAGTTATGGGGATACAGATATCACCCCAGTATATGAACTTCCCAACAATTAGCTATCTGAAAATAGAATGGGCTACCAAATGAAGTGGTGAGTTTCCTTAATGGGTAGTGTTCAAGCATTCCCTATGAATATTTTCCTATTATAGGGGGAGAAGAGGCAGCACAGTATAATGTAAAGAACAGTGGTCTTTGAATCAGAAGATCAGACTTAAAGTCTGGCTCTTGACACTCACAAGTTATGTGATGATTATAGGCAAGTAAGGTAACTTCGGACAATTAAGTGGTGCAGTAGATAAGAGTTCCAGGCCTTAAGTCAGGAAGACTCATCTTCCTGAATTCAGATCTGGCTGCAGACTCTTACTAGCTGTGTGACCGTAGGCAAATCACTTAACCCTGTTTGCCTCAGTTTCCTCATCTGTAAAACAAGCTAGAGAAGGAAATGGCAAACCACTCCAGAATCTTTGCCAAGAAAATTCTAAATGGGGTCAGGAAGAGTCAGACATGATTGAAAGACTGAACAACAAAAGGTAACTTCTCCAAGTCTGTTTCTGCAACTATAAAATGGGTTTAATTGTACTACTGACCTTTCAGGGTTGTTTTAAGGAGAGCACTTTGAAAACATTCAAGTTCAATATAAATATGGGCTATAATTATTCCCACATTTAACCCCTTTGAGGAGTTAATGTCCCTTCCAGTACTAGTCTAATAGGAGTTGGACTGGACTTCCATGGAACTGAACATGTACTCTTGATCCCATGCAGGATACATATGATCTAATTCTGCACTAAAGGACTTCTGCAGATGTTGGACTTGGGATGATGTGGTAATCCCTTGTTCATCTCCATACTTGTTAGGCTATTTCAAAGATGACTAGTGACTAAGAGCTTCTCCTGAAGAGGCTATAGAAAGAATGATGAGAAAAAGGCTTCCTCCAGACTCTTTTAGGCCTTACAGGAAATAGCAAATAGGATTTCTCTTTTCTTTTCCTAAGCTCTAGCAGAAATGAAGGTTATAAGGACATGACAACAAGAATGTATGACCCATCAGAAAGGATGAGCACAGTTCCATAGAAAATACTTCAATTTTTTTTTTTATTATGATCCTACAAATCTAAGAACTACGAATCTTGATTACTATTTTTAAAGTGATTTGGGAAGGGGAGTAAGCTTATGAATATTTAATAGCTTTTCTACTCTACCTACATAGCTCCTCTGACAGCTAATTAAAACATATATACTAGTTCATCAACCAGTGTTCCCATCTCAAATTATACTTTGGACCAATATAAGTCCCAGTTTTCTCCTGCAGACCACTAAGCTCCACATCCTCTGAATAGCATCTCTTAGCACAGACCTACACAACCTGTGGCCCCAGCTGCTTCTGGCATGCCAAAAGATTTCGGGTGGCCCGAGAAAAATGTAGAGAAGAATGTCCTTTGTATGTAGAGGAAATCCTTTGGCATGCAGCAAGCAGCCCACAGACTGTAAGTGGCCTAAGGGCTATAGGTAATGCAGGCTTGTCTTAGCAAGTCAGGAAACAGGGGCTAAGTACTAAAGGTGGGAGAAGCCGGCCCAGAAGAGAAGAAGAAATCGGTCTCCTAAGTTTAATGAATTTTTATCTAACATGGCACTTTAGTAATAAAATTTTATCTATTTGTTAAAATATCTTTTTCAGATTGCCAATTTTAAACAACCAATGTTAATGCAGCTATTGGAGCAATATCTACGATTTCTATAGTTACAAAACTCATAAATTTTCCTAGAATAAAACAATTAAACAGTTTTCTAGTTTTTGTTTTCTAAAATTGGTTTGCTTTAAACCCACCTATAATGGTGAATATCTTCAAACGATTTAGTATTATTTATGGCAAATACACATAGAAAGCCCTCCCCAGTCCTCATGTACTGGTCCCTCATTGCACTGTATTCCTCTTGACCTGCTGTGTCGAGAATATCCAAGAGACAGGTCTCTCCATCAATTACTACTTGTTTCCTGTAGGAATCCTGAGAAAGGAGAAACATAGTCTAGGTTATTACAATGCACCTTTTTATTTTTTATCTGGGTGCTGTAGAAAGATGCAGTGATGCTACCAAGTATATTACAAAAATCATTTAAACAGGGTTGAACTTAATCTGAAAAGAAATCATTAATATAAAGGTAAGATATTTTGTTTAAATTTGGTCTAGTCAACCTATTATATTCTATTAAAGTCCTACTCCCATCCCTCCCTGTGGTATAATAATAATCCTGGGTCCTCAAAGGATATGCCAGGGGAAGACAAGCTGAAAAGGCTTTGAGCATGAGTCTACAATGGACTTTTAAGTCTTGTCACATTAGAAGCAGCCTAGCAAGAAAGGCCAGAGGTTTGACTACCAAATGACTTTTTTCAGCCATAGCAACTCAGGAAGATCATATCCAAAGGCATGAAGGAACTGCCCATTTGAATCAATGGCAGGAGTACCCATACCAGCGAAATCACAGATCTCACAAGTTATTTCCTGAGTACTTTCTATATGCCTGGCACACAAACACAAACACATGCTCATAATTATTTTCCATTCAGATGCCCTTCTGAAGTGCTTTGGCTATACAATGTGATTTTTCTTAGGCTTGCCCGCTGATGGTCAGAAAAATCTTATGGGAGTCAGTAGGGTGCATGATTATTTTACCTTAAGTTTTAAGGAGTTTCTAACTATAAAATGAAAAGAAAATTATGTAATCAGATTATCAAAGGAAGAATGAGATGTCCTTAAGGAAAGTGCCATACAATCTTTCCCCTAGACTCCTGGCAATTACATTTTTCCCAGAGATCCCCACAGGCCCAGTATCAATATTGCCAGAAAAGGGAAGAGACAGCGTAAAGTCAAAGGTAAGGAAGCAAAGGTACCAATGGGAAGCAGACATTGGGATACAATCTGTAACTGATCCACCCCACACCTCTGATATGAGGTTAAAGCTAGCGTTATGTACCTTGAAACTCAATATCACCTATCCAACACTTCAATTCTAAGCAAATGCCTAACTTAGCCATTAACTTACAATTAAACATTTTATGGCTTTAAACAAAAATACTAAGAATTACCAGAATTTATATCTAAGAGTGCTATTTACCAATGTGCCATACATTATATGCCAAAAAGTGAAAGAGATACTGTATGTGGGCAAAAGAAAGTAGATGCAGAAATGGCATCTGTCCAGTATTTCAGACCCTTCCAGAAAAGAACCATGAACAAGGAAGGTCCTTTAAAATATCTGTTGAATGTAAATGGAGGCTACATAGGGAAGAGATAGGCCTTGTCTTTATATATCTTCATCAAATTACCAGATTAACTGAAGGCTTTAAAAAGGATAGGCAAAGGGTCACATAGGCCCATGGAACAGAAAGGATTTAAAAGATCTGTCCTGCTAATGCCTTCAAACTTTTGGTAACCTTTTAAATACAGAGGGATTTCTCTTTCTCTTTTTGCAATTTTTAAAAAACAAACACTTCACTACCCTTCCTTACACATTAACTGAAATAGGTAATTGAAAAGAGAATTTAGAGTAAGAAGGGATATGAAGATTGAAGTTTACTAGTCCCTCCCCTCATTTTATACATAAGGAAACAGAGGCCCAAAGAAGTTAAATAACTTTCCCAAAGTAACACAGCTAATTAAGAGGTAAAGAGCACAACAACAGGAAATGACATATGTAGAATACAGAAATATGAAAGACATGAAGTGATACAGAATAAAAATGTGAAACCAAAAGGAAGCAACACAAAACAGTATAGGCAAAACCCAAAACAATGAATCAGAAAACAACATTAGTGCTAACTTGTTCAAGATAATGCACTGTTTTTTATTAATAATGAATAAAAGGTAAAGGTACAATTATATTGCACAAGTCTTTGGAACCATTTTTTATGCTTTTTATTAAATTGTTTATGGGGCTTGGGGGTTTAGTTTTATTTGGTTTTATTATTTTTTGCTTGTACTTTCTTTCTTGGTTCTTGTTCACATATTTGAAAGCATATATTGTGTCACTAGAAACAAAAATAAAATTTTTAAGTTAAAAAAAAATACTCAAACCCAGGTCTCCTGACTCCAAGTTCAACAAAAACACTGTAATAGCCCTGTCCAATCAACATCAAAAACAGGTAAAGTCATTACTACTACTATCCATGTGCACTTCTTTTCTTATTCCATAGAGTAATTTTAACTATATATACTTCCACAAACCTGGCTGCTATCAGACCTGGATATGTGAAAATTCTGATAGGTTTCTAATGCACAGACTCTCCAATTTAAGTTACACTCACAGTAATTCAAATGTTTACTAAATGGATACTATTCAAAGTGTGTATGAACAATAACTTTCAGAAGTCCTACTCTGAACCCTAATTACGAAATGGTGACAACGCTGCATCCTTGAAGGTTAATGGAGTGAAACACAAGTTCTGGTAAATTCTACCATTACAGAAAGCCTTTGTGTGCAGTCCTACTAACAGATTGTGTCTACTTTTCTAGGACAAGCCCATCTTAGAAGAAAGATGTTCATCACTAGTAGACTCATTATTAGTAGATGAATTCTTATGGCAACCAACATAAGATAAAACTAAAATAGCCATCATACTTTTGTTTGTCCTCTCTTCTCTTTCTGCAATGAGAGTGACAGAAAAGGAATCAATAAGTCCTAAAGAAAATAGTTTTTATACTATATGTAACCATTAAAATGAACTGTTAGTACTCTAAATGTGAAGTCCTTGTCCAATGACCAGCAAGTTAACATACTACTGAATATAGAAAAGGGAATCATATTAAGACTGACATTGTAGCTTGATCTATTGAAACCAGAAGATATAAGGAAGCTGCACCTATATGGAAGGATGTTTTCTATGGAGAAGCAAATACAAGAGAGTTAGTGGAGTTAGTTTTGTTTGTCTTAAGTAACAAGTATTTTCTGGGGGTACTTTATCTCTGATTAAAGTGCATGGTAACTTATGTGACATCAGTTGAAGAGGATAAGGAGGTAGAAAAGTTCTACGAAGAACATACATAGTAAGACCCTCCAAATTAAAACAATACTTCATAAACACTTAGTAATTTCAATATAAAGGTAAACAAAGGAAGATATTGGAATATATATTGGAAAAAGGCTCAGGATTAAGAAATGGAAAATGTCTAAAATTTATATACATATCATGAACACTTTCTTCAAAAAAGAGATTCAGAAGGTGCTAGATATGGCAAACAATGAATATTATGAAAATGAAACTGTTATCTGGACAGGAAACAACTGGTTATTCATGTGGTTACCATTTCTAAATCAACTGAATACTGACTAACTTGTAAGAGTAAAAATTAAAATCAACACATTAGGATAAAGATGATAAGATATACCATGCAATTAAAACTGACCTAACCTATTTAATATAATCCGTCAACCTTCAAGGATACAGTGTTGTCACCATTTCTTAATTAGGGTTCAGAGTAGGACTTCTCAAAGTTTATTGTTCATACACACTTTGAATAGTATCCATTTAGTAAATATTTGAATTACTGTGAGTGTAACTTAAATTGGAGAGTCTGTGCATTAGAAACCTATCAGAATTTTCACATATCCAGGTCTGATAGCAGCCAGGTTTGTGGAAGTATATCAATGGATAAAGGAATAGATACCAACACAGTCTATAACCATTACCAAAAGAAGGTCAACTGACAGGATCTATTGCTGAAACTAAAAGGGCTTAGCAAAAGAAATAGGCAGGTAGTCAACGCTAAAAACAACAGCTCTCTTTTATTTAATGTGTTCAAGGGAAGTCCCAAAAGGCTATGATACTTAGCTGGAGACACCCAAGGGAGTGAGGGGCAAAGACTACAAAGGAAAAGTTCTAAGGGAGGCCATCAACTCTCTCAGATTAGGGCTGGGACTAACACTTCCAAAACAGAACTGACAAGAGGCATAGAAGGAAAATCACTGGGGAGCTCACCACAGCATGTTTCACAGGAGTTTCTGGATCAGAGTGGCTCAGATGTTTTGAGGGAAGTTGGGGTTCACTTATATGGGTTTGATTGTTTCCAATCTCCCAGTTAAGAAACTGGAAGTTTCCAGCCTGAAAGTTTCTCAACACAGAAGAACTAAATTTGGAAATGGGGCATACAATACAAGCAGGGAAGTTTACAGAAAAGGAGCAGCATAAGAATAAGAGGGTATCAGAAAGGAGGAGATATGGCTATAGAATCTGCAGCCTCTTGGACAAAGACAGAGATCACTGGTTTTTCCAGACTAGAAAGTTGATATTTTATAAATGTAGAGATCAAAAAAAGCCTAGAAGCCTCTCAACTAGCAGACCAAGAGCAGTATTACCTCAGAATATAAATTGACTAGCAAAACTAAAAAGTTGGTGACGGGTAGGGATGGTGAAAGATTTTTTTAAAAGCGGCAAACGGTAGAGGGAATGACAAATCTAAAGAAAGCTTGCTGAAAGACCCAATTAAGCCAGTTCATGTGGATACAGTGTGAGGCCTGGCGCCAAGAAGACCCAAGGTCAAATCCAGCCTCAAATACCAGCTTTGTTGACCATGGGCAAGTCACTTCACCTGTTTGCCTCAGTTTCCTCAACTGTAAAATGAAGATAATAATAGCATCTACCTCACAACTGTTGGAAGGATCAAATGAGATATCGGTAAAAAGTGCTTATGAATGGCACGTAGTAGTCATTATGTAAATGCTTATTTCTTTCCCTTCCCATCTGAAGATGAAACTGGTAAACAGATTAAAAAAATGGCAAAGATCTGTCATCATTTCTATAGCTATTTTCCTTACCAATGGGAGTGGACCTACATACTGATTCTAATTAATGTACTGCAGGAGAAAGTAGAAAATGCATTAAAGAATTCAATTTAATAAGTATTAAATTCCTTAGGCACTCAATACATGCTAAGCTGAGGATACAGAGACAAAATAAAAAACTGTTCTTGACCACAGAGAGTTTATATTCTACTGGTAAAGAAAAGAAATA